AGTCCCAGGCCACTACTCACCCCCAACACGTTCCTTTGCCTTTAGCTGCAATACTTAAGAAAGCAGCTTAGACAGAGGGACGAGTTGCTCATTTCTGAGTTTCTCCCATGTATACATGTTATTAAACTTGGTATTATTTTCTCCTGCTAACCTGTCTTGTTGATTATTTGGCCAGCCAGAAGAACCTTAAGGGAAAGGGCAGAGGGAGATTCTCCCTCTTCCCCCTACATGGCCAATCTAGTAGGGGACCCATTTGAGCCTAAACTGAAGTTACACCACCCAAGAAAACCCAAAACCCTCAAAATAACAACAACAACATCTTGTATTTTTAGATATAAGGGGTGGATAATTAATCTGGAGTCTCCCTCTGATCCCCTCCAGGAAATTAAAATTAGTTCTCCAGGGCCATTCCCATAGACAGTGTAGAATACCAAAAGAGGGAGATAGAAAACTCCACTTAGAAAATAAAAGTCACAGAGATAATAATAAAATCAACCCCATACCCCATAATGATGAAACCATACAACCCCTCCGTAGTAAGAATATATGCCAGAGGAAAACCAACAGCAGACAAAAGCTCGTCAAGTGCAGCTGCACACCTTCTAGTCTTATTACCATTGGTCCAGGTGCTTTCATTGGTCTACAATCCAGAGGCCCAGACCTTCCAAGTAAGCCATTATTTACTAAACAGGGCACAGGCTGAGGCCCACATGCCATTTGAGTTTAACTAACACAAACCCTATAACCCAAAGACCTCACAAGCTTGCTCTTCACCAACCAAGCCAACAACTGAGGCAAAGAGCTCATAGTAATTGGTCATATTAGAGGGCCTGCCTACAGGTTAATGCTGAAGCTCCAACCTCAGCCACAGATAATTTAATTTGCAAACAACCCGATGCCCTATTAACAACACCCAAATCAGGCCATATGATTTAAAACCTATTTGTAACAGAACCCCTCTCATCACTCATCTGGGCAAAACCTGGAACTATTGGGAACTTTCAGATTCAGTCACCCTTAATGGGTGCTTTAATTGTGCCACTTGGATTCTGGCACTTTCGTTCATTATGACAGTTTGATGGATATAAACATCACCTCTGTAAACTATGCCTCCACAAACCCCTCAACATAAAAGATATTTACAAGTTAAGCTCCTAGGACCAACATTGCTTTCAAATTACACCAGTGGCTCAGCCTCATTGTAATACCATAGAACCACCTAATCAGGACCCACATCAATCCAAGTGGAAATCTACTGTAAAGGATAACCCAGTCCCACATCCCAGAAGACATCACCCCAGTCCAGGAGCTCGCAGCTGGAGAGGACATCACCTCAGATAATATCACCCTAGCCCAAGACCTGGCTATTGGAGAGTACTGTGCCCCCTGCACCAGAGACGACTTTGTCTAAGATACTAAAGCTAGAGATAAAAGAACAGGGCCCCAAAGTCGAGCTATTGTGTGCTCAAATGTTAACACTCAGGCAGAGGAGTCTATGCTGGCAAACAATCCTGTGGCGGAGCATCCAGAGAGGTAGGAATAAAAGAAGATCCTGGTGTCTGGAGCAGAAATGAGAGTGTCCTCAGAAACAAAGAGGAACCACACCTCCTGCTTCTCCACCTCTGCTCACCACAGTCCCCAGTCAGGCAGTGGCGTCCCAGCTCCTCAACATCAGGGTCCCACTAGTACCCAGGCCAAGCAGACACAATCAGGACTGGGTATCTGCAGGTGTGTGCTCCCTACTCCTAAGCCTCTTCCTGCATATCAGGAGCATGCCCCCTGTGCTGCCCCCTTCCCATCCCCTCCTTTCCACCTTCTCCACCCCGACCCCCAAGCATCCAAGCCAGGGACTGCCAACCCTTTCGCGTTTTTGCATTCACTGGAAAATATCTGAAGACAAAATCATGCTGTTATATTTAAAATATATTGTATGTCTTGAAATTCTAAAACAATGTTTAGAAAGAAGAACATGCTCTATGTTTCTTAAATAAATAACATAAGTTTCAATTTTCATTTACCTTTTCAAATATTCAGAGGGTATTTGCCCTTCCAGAATTTGAAATAAAATCTTAAAAATTTTGTTTTTATTGTGGTAAAGCACACTTCATAAAATTTACCATCGTAACTATTTTTAAGTGCACAATTCAGTGGTATTAAATACATTCACATTGTTGTGCAACCATCATCACCACCCATCCTCTGAAATTAAATCTTTCTTCAAGTATATTCTTTTATTACAGACTTCTGTAAGTTAAAGTTAGTTGCTGTAACAGATAAACTTGAAAATATTGGTTGTTTGAACATCACACAAATTTATCTTTACTTCAACAGGCTTTCAAATATCAAGTGACTGCTTACTGATCTTCCTCCAAAAAGAAATTCAGGAACCCAGGTACCTTCAATTTCTGGATTTGTCATCACCAACATATGGCTTCAAAATCTGGCTATGGTGCTTGGGTTTGTTCCCCTCGGTTGTAAAGGAAAAAATGGTACCTCATGAGTGACATTTTCACAAACCTGTGTAGGGGAAACATAACTTCCATGCACGTTTACTTGGACAGGACTCATTCACATGGCCATACCTAGGAGCCAAGAGAGTGGGATGGGAGTCTGACTGTGAGGCCAGAGGGAAGAGGAGACAAGTTTGGCCACTAAGGCTTTTGATTTTTATACTATGTGTATAAATGCTGATTTTATTTTATTTTATTATTATTTTTGTGTGTGTGTGAGGAGATCAGCCCTGTGCTAACATCTACCAATCCTCCTCTTTTTTTGTTGAGGAAGACCGGCCCTGGGCTAACATCCATGCCCATCTTCCTCTACTTTATATGGGGCGCCGCCATAGCATGGCCTGCCAAGCAATGCATCGGTGCACGCCCGGGATCTGAACCGGTGAACCTCGGGCCGCTGCAGCGGAGCGCATGCACTTAACTGCTTACGCCTCCGGGCTGGCCCCTAAATGCTGATTTTAGAACCAACAATTTTCTTGCACACATTTCATCCAATAAAAAAGGTGACTCTAAATCTGATTCTACAAATTCACCCCAGTGAATGGACTTCAGAGAAAAGTACAAGTATGTCAATCAATGCCCTTTAAAGAGAAATTCATGTTGATTTCCAAGGGCAGAAATTAAAATTGTAAAATATCCAAGATTATAGTTATCTTTAAGAAAAGAGATATGATGAATATATTCAGTAATATTTAGATATGGGTTGACCTTGGTGCCTTCCCTCAGTCACAGTGACAGATATTCATGTGTCCAGTGTGGTCTGTATTGTTATTCATTCAACATGCAGAGAGAATGGCAGGGGTCTCACTCTTTTAAGTGTTTTTAGCACATTGCACTGTTCTGCAGCTTATGGGTAATAAATTAGATGGACATACTGATTATCTTCTCTAGTATCAAATAAATTAGTCCTTACAAAATGGAAAAGTGACTGAAAAAGATTTCTGCCAAGAAACAATGAATGAAGTTAATTCAATCACCAAGTGAACAAGAAAATGGCAAAGTGATGTTTGTGCTGTGAGGAGGAACTCTTCTGCCAGACACACACACTGGATGTTGAGGCAACAACTGTCTAATCAGATATGATAAGTAAGCTAACAAATCAAAATTATTAAAAAATATTTGATATTTAAATATATAGATTCTGTTATAATACATTTTTATTTCAAAATACTTAAGATTTGCTCAATTTAAAGGTGAGTAAAGCATTATTTGTTTATCTTTAAATTGTGGTAAAATACACAACATAAAATTTAGCATCATAACCAATTTTAAGTTTATAGTTCAGCAGTTTTAAGTAATTTACATTGTTATGCAATGAAAGGGATCAGAATATGTCCCCCCAAAATATGCCACTTTGGCATAAGGATTATTTTTGAGCTGAAGGCAACTGAGAAACAATAGACACAGGAGGAATTCTCTGCCATCCCCCTTTCTGCCTAAAAGGAGGACATGAATCCCCTTTGTGAAGGTGCTCCCCTCTCTCTTCTGTACCAGGCGGAAGAAAACAACCATTATCACTGGAGACAGAAAGTCAGTGAGATGGGGCTACACAAACAAATCTTTATAAAATAATCTTTATCTTCCATTGGTTTTCCCCTGTATATTTACTTTCCCATGATTTACTGCTCCAAAAGCCCAAACTACTTTTCCTTTGTTTTGCTTCTTCTCCACAAATTTATGGCCCTTTGTTAAAATGACATATAAGCCCCTGAGCCTAATCACCAATTTGGGTGATTCTTCTTTTCTATGAAGGCCTCTGCATGTGAAAATTAAAATATTGACAAGAAATAGGCGCCGGCCCAGTGGCGCAGCGGTTAAGTGCGCGCGCTCCACTGAGGCGGCCTGGGGTCCCCAGGTTCTGATCCTGGGCACGCACCAATGCACCACTTGTCAGACTGTGCTGTGGCGGTGTCCCATATAAAGTGGAGGAAGATGGGCACAGATGTTAGCCCAGGGCTAGTCTTCCTCAGCAAAAAGAGGAAGATTGGCAACAGATGTGAGCTCAGGGCTAATCTTCCTCACACACACACACACACAAAAATATATATTAACATAAAATAAAATTTGTATGCCTTTTCTTTTGGTAATCTCTCTTTTGTTAGTTTAATTCTCAGGCCTGTGTTACTAAAGGTCAGAGGACAGAGGAAAAGTTTCTTTCCTCTCCTACAGCAAGCGATTTTCAGAACTCTTTTCATCTTGCAAAACTGAAACTCTACACTGGTGAAACAACTCATTACCCCCTTCCCATGGTAACCACTATTATATATTCTTTATCTACGAATTTGGCTACTTGGAATTATTAGGTACTCTAAGTACTTCATACAAATGGAATCATACAATATTTGTCTTTTTGTGACTTTTCTTATTTCACTTAGCATAATATCCTCAAGTTTCATCCATTTTGTATCATGTGTCAGAATTTCCTTCCTTTTTAAGGCTAAATAATATTTCATTCATTGTATATACCACATTTTGTTTATCCATTCATCTGTCGATGGACACTTGGGTTGCTTCCATCTTTTGGCTATTGTGAACATTGTTGCGGTGAACATGGGTGTACAAATATCTATTCAAGTTCCTGCTTTCAATACTTTTAAGTATATATACGGAAGTAGAATTTCTGGGTCATGCGGTAATTCTATTTTCATTTTTTTTGAGGAACCATCATACTGTTTCCCACAGTGGCTGCATCACTTTAAATTCCCACCAGCAATACACAAGTGTTTCAGTGTCTCTACATCATCACCAAAATTTTTTCTTTTCTTTTCTTTTTTTTAATAATAGCCATCCTAATGGATGTGAAGTGGTATCTCATTGTGGTTTTGATTTGCATTGCTCTAATGATTAGTGATGTTGTGCATCTTTTCATGGGCTTATTGGCAATTTTTATATCTTTTTTGGAAAAATGTCCATTCAAGTCTTTTGCCCATTTTTGAATTATGTTGGTTAGTTGTTTTATCTCAAATTTAATAATTGTTTTTGAATGCCTTCATAGTTTTCACGGTAACTACAACTGTGTTACAGTGACATGTAATCAATGTTATAAAGAAATCAGCATTCGCTAGGGAACCGGTAGAGGAGTAGCATTTGGGAAAAGCACTGGACGGAGAACAGAGTTCAAGTCTTTGCTCCTCCATGGACTGACTTTTCTGAGTTTCACCAGAAAATAAGGGTAATGATTCTTTCTTTTGTTTGTTTTTCAATTTTTTTGTTGATGTGTTGATAGTTTATAACATTGTGAAGTTTTAGTTGTACATTATTGTTTATCAGTCACCATAGAAATGTCTCCCTTCACCCCTTGTGCCCACCCCCCCAACTCCCTTGCCCCCGGGAACCACCAAACAGTTCTCTCTGTCCGTGTGTTAGTTTTTCTTCCATTTATGGGTGAAATCATGTGGTGTTTGTCTTTTTCTCTCTGGCTCCTCCAGGTCCATCTATGTTGTTGCAAATGGGACAATTTTGTCTTTTTTTATGGCTGAGTAGTATTCCATTGTGTATATATACCACATCATCTTTATCCCAATCACCAGTTAAGGGACACTTGGGTTGCTTCCACTTCTTGGCTATAGTGAATAATGCTGCAATTAACATAGGGGTGCATAAGCCTCCATGGATTGTTGACTTCAGGTTCATTGGATAGATACCCAGTAGTGTATCATAAATAGCTGGATCATAAGGTATTTCTATTTTTAATTTTTTGAGGAATCTCCATACTGTTTTCCATAGAGTCTGCACCAGTTTACATTCCCACCAGCAGTGAATGAAGGTTCCCATTTCTCCACAACCTCTCCAACATTTGTTGTTTTTTGTCTTGGTGATTATAGCCATTCTAATGGGTGTAAGGTGATATCTTAATGTAGTGTTGATTTGCATTTCCCTGATGATTGGTGATGTTAAACAACTTTTCATGTGCCTATTGGCCATCTTATATCTTTTTTGGAGAAATGTCTGTGCAGACCTTTTGCCCATTTTTTAATTGAGTTGTTAGTTTTTTTGTTGTTGAGATATATGGTTTCTTTATATATTTTGGAGATTAACCCCTTATCAGATATATGGTTTGCAAATATCTTCTCCCAATTATTAGGCTACCTTTTCATTTTGTTGATGATTGCCTTTGCTGTGCAGAAGGTTTCAGTTTGGTATAGTCCTATTTGTTTATTTTTTCTATTGTTTCCCTTACCTGGTCAGACATGGTACTTGAAAACATGCTGCTAAGACCAATGTCGAAGAGTGTACTACCTATGTTTCCTTCTAGAAGTTTCATGGTTTCAGGTCTTACATTCAAGTCTTTAATCTATTTTGAGTTAATTTTTGTGTATGGTGTAAGACAATGGTCTACTTTCATTCTTTTGCATGTGGCTGTCCAGTTTTGCCAACACTGTTTAATGATGAGACTTTCCTTTCTCTATTCTAGTTCTTGGCTCCTTTGTCGAAAATTAGCTGTCCATAGATGTGTGAGTTTATTTCTGGACTGTCGATTCTGTTCTATTGATGTTTGTGTCTGTTTTTGTGCCAGTACCATGCTGTTTTGATTAGTAGAGCTTTGTAGTATATTTTGAAATCAGGGAGTGTGATACCTCCAGCTTTGTTCTTTTTTCTCAGGATTCCTTTAACTATTTGGGGTCTTTTGTTGTTCCATATAAATTTTAGGATTCTTT